CGCAGGAAGTGTACCCGATCTAATAATTAAACCTGGCTTTAATCCTTCAAGGCATTTATCTCTTCAATTATTCAGTAAAGTGCATGTTTATTGGACATGAAAGTACATCATGCTATGGAAGTTCATTGTAATAATGACCTACATTTCGCTTACATCACACTAACTTCCGAACTTGATAGAACTTAGGTGCTGAAAATGATTTTGTTAAAAGTTCGTACAGGCCTACTTAAGCAAAAAATAATAATGCACCTTAACCTTTCCGTAAAGTATGGAGTCTCAGTATTATAAAGTTGCATCTCGGTTATCTTCTCTTGTTTTTATTTTTACTGTCATCTGAGCGGTCCTAAAAGAAGTTGTTTTACAGTATAGTTAAAGAATCTTGAAATCTTTTACCAGTGGAATATAGTTCATTTTTATTCAAGACTCTTTAACTATACTGTAAAACAATATTTATCAAAAAAATACGCGGAATATATATGAAAAAGGATACATGAAGAAACAAAAATGTTTGCACGTGATTAACTTTTAGTAAAACGGTATAGTAAATGCTGTTTTACATGCCACAAGAAAGATAATTTAGACTTTTCTTATGGACAGATAAACTGATAAAATCGATAGTAAACGTCTAAGTCAACACCTTGGTATAATATATATCTAGTTCTTAAGTGGTAGGGGCCTTTTTAAACTAGAGTTTTTGCTCCGCGTTGAAAGCCTCACTGTGACTTTGAAATGAAGAACAGCAATAAAAGCGCTGTTTTTTGCTTTTTTTGCTTTTTTTGTTTTTTACTGTGCATATACTGATTTTATGTCATGGATGGATACCCTGTATCCTTTCTTTTCTGATTAAGATATAAAGTAGAACGAATTACGTAGTGTTATCATATTGAAAGAAATGCTCAGATTTCATTATTTATATTATTTGTTGTCATTCTCCGCCAATGATTCAATGATTCAAACTTGTTACTAATTGTAAATTACACTATGTAGTTAATCACTGATGCTATTATATTTGTATATGTAAATTCTATAAGCTGTATTGCTTTTTAGTAAAAGGCTATTAGTATTATAAATATACAGATTTTTATTTGACCTGTTCAACAGATTAAGTAAAAGTGAAATTCTAAACCAGTTTCGAAAATGCAACATTCAGTTTTTATTCAGAAAGAACACTTTTTTTTAGTTCAACTTTCGGTATGCAAATACCTAATGGATTTAACTTATAAGTTATGTTTTGGTACAAATGTAGTACTAATGCTACGGAAATATTTAAATTTATGACTAAAACAAACGATTTTTGTATGACATATCGTAAAATTGCTAACATGTCATTTTTTAAAGTATGATAAATGAAAATCTTGATTACGTAATAAAGTATTACATTTTTCATAAATCATTAACTATTAAAGAGATTTTACAAGTTATTGAAGTTTTCATTACATGTGAAGAAGATTGATTAAGTTTTTGAAAGAAATGATACAATTTATTGTTATTGAAATTAAAAATGCACGATTTTGAGACATGCATTTTGATTTAAAATTAATTTATGTATTATTTAAGATCAATTAGCCTTCCGTTGGCGTACAACTGTACTTCTCCCCCATCACACACTCCAAAATAAAAACTGAAACAAGCTTTATCTCCTTGCTATGTTTTATTTCGATTTTTACCGTTTTTGAAATAATGGTATAAGTACAATTACACAAAAGTACAGGTGATGTTGAAAAACTTTGTCTGGATGTCTAAAGGCAAAGACAAATGAATACGAAATATCGATTTATCAACCTCTAATGTTTAAATGACTAGAATATGTATAGTCGTTTGATTTTTGAAATGTTATAAAATCCCATATTATGTGTTGCTTCTGCACTGTAAAGTTCAAGTTTCAGGTTGAAAAATTGTACTAAATTTTCTTTGCTAAATGAGGGCATGTTTTCTTTTCTAAAGATTAACGAACAAGCGGAAGAGTACTGTCGGATCTTAATGCTTGTTAGTCTAATTTAACACCTTAATATGATAATGACTAAGTGGTCAATCGTCATTTTTATGTAAAGTAAATTTTAACAAAAAGCACAGCACAGTTTGATGTTATGTCTGTTTATTCGACCTATCCAAATGAACACCAGAACACATGATATTAATACACAAACATAGACAAGGTAAGACTTGTCCGTATTTTCTTTTGAGCAAAGAGACAACTTTTTAGGAAACACGTAATAATCAAAATTGATATTTAGTATTATTCAAAACTATTTTAGAATAATTTAAGTTGAAGTGTAAAATATGAAATTAACAATAATTGATTTGATCAAACGCTTTCATGTCAACTAGTTTTAAAATATCATTGATTTAACAAAAATGAAATACACATAAAACAAATCTCGAGTTCTTTACATTTAGTATAGCTTTTTGGGATTGTACATTACAGAACAGACTTATTTATTCCACTTGCTTTAATTCGCTTTTATACAAACTGAAAAATAATTTTAAATGGAAAAAATAGATTTTGTAATAGCTTAAGGGACACTTGGAGTTTATAAGGTACATGCGCGGATCCATGATTTGATGTAAAAGGGTTTTCGCGTAGCCACTGTAGTAATTAATTGTAAGCAGAGGGTCTGGGGCGGCAGCACCCCCTAAACTGAACGATTATAGCTAAACTCTTATTGAAGAAAACATGTTTTATAAGATTATTTGTAAGCACATGCTTACAATGCTACACTGGTGCTACGCCACTGGTGAGTTTTAATATTATATCCCAACTTCTTAACAGATACTTGTATTAGTTAACTGATAAATCGATATGGTCCATGCATATTCTGAAGGCAAAACAATTACTAAGATTCAAATTTAGCTTCAATACTTTATCAAATTTCTAACCACTTGTTTAACATACAAAATTCACATACATATTATATAAATCATAGTTCATATTTAAAATGAAAATAAACAATCATTAGCTTAAATAATAAAACATTAAATTTACAACTGCCGTTCTATTAAAAATTATGAGAGACTATTACAAGAATTATTATATACAATATTTACATCCTTTTTTAAAACTATATAGATGTATATAAGATTTAATTCCATCATTAGCTATATATAAATAGAAATGTATTCTTCTACATAAAATATTGAAGCATTTTTTTTGGCAACTAACTGACAAAGTTCTTCATTTTTAAATAAAAAAAGTAACAACGTAATGACCTCTAATCATAATCTACTAACGTGATTTACTAGACCATGATAATAAGGCAAAGATCAAGACTTAGTGTTATTTGGCAGACGGCATTCGCAACACACAATGCATCTATAGATAAAATAAAGTTGATATACCAAATGATGTAACCAAAGAAATTATCAAATGAAAAAAAAAATAAAAATAGATTTAGAATCTATTCAATCATGAGAATAAGTTTATGCAAAAAACGATTAAGATTTTTATTTATTTAACAGCTGCATAACTTGAAATGTATATATAGTCCTACGCAAAGAGTAGGGGCATTAAGGTATGTTTTGGCCCGAAAAATGAACTTTTGAGAATTATTTCAAATTTGCACATAATATAAGGAAAAAACATGCAACCAAGACCTACGTCATTTATACTCTGGTGGATAGTGGTTTCTTTGGGGAGCATACCACGTCTCCTTATTTTTTATAACCAAGAAACAAGATTTTCAATGTTATGACGTCACAATTATGTCATAATTTGAGCTTATTTCATTGAGATGATAAAAAATGTGGAAAAATCACACACAGCCAAGAAACGACGAATTTAAGAGAACCTTTCTTATAACTATTTGCATACTCTCACAAAAACTTTAAGCTTTTCTTGGAAGTTTACGTACTAATCCAATACAAAATATAATTCAAAACAAGATAAATCAAGACATTTTACAAAATATTAAAATTTCGTCGTCACGGTTTTGTTTCTAAACCCTTTTATTTAAGTTCTATCAGCGAAAAATTAAGACCGTGTATGAAAACCTTTAAATTTGCAAACTTCAGTAAACAATGGACTTTATTAGTTTTTTTTGGGAAACAAAATGCATACTTCCCTTGTAATCTTACACACACAGATATATATATAAATAAGTCTAAATTGAAAACAACGTTCAAACCTATGATTGCGTTGGATAAAAACCGCAATTTTTATACGTGTGCATACGAAACAAATTTCTTGGTAGAGGGGTCTAAATACAGCACAAATAACATTTTCCAAAAGACTGTTTGATAACAGGTCGAACAACGGATGTTCTTAAACCCTGCTGACTGCCATTGGCGATTGCCAAATAAACGGATCACAAGATGTAACAAAATGGATCTTTATTATTAATTTAATTCCAAACAGAAAACAATAAACTTGCGGAAAAGATGGTATACCGCAAACATGAGGTGCAAAAATTTGTATACCATATCCAGATTTCAACAATTAATGTCTCTTCAGTGATGTAAGGAATCGAAACGGTATTTGGAAGGCCATATAATTTACCTCAATGTAGGATATATTTTTAAATGAAAAATCACTTTGCAGTATTGATATCTACATCTTTGTCAGAGATTCACGGAATCTAGCGAGTCACTGTTAATTAGACACGGGGATCGAATCACGTGCGGATCTGAAAATTGAATCAGTAGCTTCTCCAAATCGTCTTCTTTGAAGTTGTTGTGATTTGCCTTTCTTTACACTATCTACAATCTTAATTTATATTATGTGCCACCATCATGCTTTAACTGATAATTATTAAAATAAAAAGTCAAAAAAGAAACACTCAAATCATGTAAAGATAGTAGGAACGGCCATATTTGGTTAATGACTAGCGGTAGTTAAATATTCAGTAATAATTGAGGTTAACTATATATCTACCACGTTACATTGTGTTTCTGGTGAGAGATTGACGTGTACCGACACATTTTTCATGTAGACTTTGACATCGACAAGTTACGTAGCATAATTTTCTTATTACGATCTTGTGATAGGTCGTTAATGTGACGTTTATTGAAACCGCCATGCATTATTGAATTCGATACACTTCACTGGATAATCAACTAGCATCTATAACTGTACTGGTTCCCGAAAATCATCGGAGTCCTTACAGTTTCGATAGAACAAAAGACAGGACTCGGTGATGGGGTTTTGGGATTTTATAGTTGTTTAAATTGTCTTCTGTGTTTAAATTCAATGGAGTTATTTTGGTCTATGAGTGATTGTCTAAAAGCAGGCATTTATTTGTATGATAAAGCTTTTGGACTAATTGAAGATTCATATATCGTAGGTAGGCATGGTTTTTTTTCCACAGTTATGAAGTTTTCAACTTTACCCTTAGCATGTCAGATGTCAAATGTATAGTAAATGAGGAAATAAAACAATGTAAACATAATTACAATAAACAAATATCAAAACCAGTTTTAAGCAGACTTTAATTAAGATTTTAGAATAATTAAAATACTATTAAATTATAAGTTACAAATAATTAAATGTGCAGTTATGCAAATTATTTAATTTCTTAATATGAATGCATATTATTTAGTAAAGTGCACAAGTGGCTTTCTGTAAATACCTGAAGGGCATACACATGTTCACAAACAATGGATCAGACCAAAAACATGGATGAATGACATGGAGGTTTTCAAAGTGTACATGTATTGTACAAATGTATATTTCTTTTTAAGTATGCTCAATGTCAAACATACATATATAAAAATCACACTTCTACACAGATGGTTCAATGCTTGTGGTAAACCTATTTGTATAATAATTGATTATCAATTAAAAACTATGTTCTTGCGGTAACAGTTGATATACGTGAGAATTTAATTCACATGTGTATATTTTTTTTTTAATTTCAAAATTTTAACCTACTTGTTACTGCACTAGTTTTTATCTGCATGTCTTTCACTATGCAAATTTGTTGCATTCTTTAACAGCAAAAAGTAAAATCTTTTGTTATCCATCACCTGTAATTGAAGTCAATGTGCTTAAAGTGGCTCATTGATGACGGAAACGAAAAATGTTTAATGACTTAATACATATAAGTTCACTTATCAACAGATCATCGCTTACTTAAATGAAGTTGTTGAGACAGAAAAGTTATTTTCAAAAGCAACATTAACTCTACCTAGATGTACTATAGGAAAATATAACAACACAAAAGTTTACAAATTATTATATTTCAATAAATCGAAAATGCCATAAGGAGGCGTATCCTTTTTGTCCATGTGTATTGATATAAAATATTACCACTGATGATTCAGTGTAAATCATTTGTGGACAAGTGGTTGCACGGGATGAAGTGCTTGTGTATAACAATGACTGGATTTCTTTTGCAGTAGCTTCTGAGAATGTTTGACAGCTTTAGAGGAGACTTTGGATACAGCTATTATGGCGAAAGAAGGACTTCCGCCACAATTGACATTCCATTGGTTGTTGTTGTGTATACTTGTGTTTTGATCTCTATAGCAACTATCGTAGCAGCTGCTGGTATAAGAGGAAAAGGGGTAAGTAAACAGAGTAACAGCAATGATAAAGTTAGGTAAAAATGTGCCATTAATGTTTTACTTGCAAATTGAGGGACTTGAGGTTTTAAGAGTTTTGTATGCACACCCATCTACCCTCAAACTGTAATAGATATACATAAGAACAGTCGTTTTTTCGTCTACCCACCCTTTTGAATTAAAACAATTAATGATTATAATAAATGTACCCTGCTTTAGCTATGAAACTGTGTCGCTTCAATATACAGCAATGGAAATATATTGTATGATACTCATGATTCACCATCTCTTTCATTACAATAATTAAACAAAAATGCTTTATGTTAAATTTCACATCTCCGAGGAAATCAAGCCCACCATAGTAAAATATAATAGCAAAGGATAACAGTAGAATATAACAATGGTCTTATTCTTCGTTACAGCGTTGGTACACATTAATCAGAGTTGTTTATAGTTTGGCAGTAGGATCAACTTTGTTGCGTAAGTTTATTTCATAATTATCAAGATATGTACGATATAATTGTGAGGCATACTATTTCCTCGAGGCAACAGTAGGATGCGGAATTCAAAACAATATTGATCAGTTTTACAGTCTATACTAATATCTTTTTGAATTTCAGCATATTTATAAGTAGATAAAGTACATGTCTGACGTTTGTTTGTGACAGTTACAAGTATGTGAAAATCTAAGAGTCGGATACATTTTAATTTCTACTTGTTAAAAAGTCAGTACACGTAGTTAGGTTTTTATACTAAATTTGTTATACTCATTATTACAGCAGAAAAGGTATTTGTTTTTTCTAAAAGAATGCCAAGGATGTATAAATACTCGGGAAGCTATATGAATAAAAAAGACCTTAAAAATATTCGAAACAATGTAAGGTCAACTTTGCTTGAGAAACTTCGAAATTTAGTTTCTTTATAATTCCTAAAGTTATCAATGGAAAATTTAAGAAATGTATGTTATAAATCATGTCGCACTGACCACGGGACTGATGAAAACCTCGGGGATTTACAGTCCCCCAAAAGTTATATCAAATGATTTAGAAAATGTATGCTATAAATCTTGTCACTACATGGAAGCACTGACTACTGGGTTAATGAAAATCTCGGGGGACTAACAGTCAACCGGCAGCGCTATTAACTGTCATTTCTAAAATGTAAAAAAAAGACAACTAAGCAAAACTTTCTTCAATGAGTTTAAACAAAGTTAGAAACTTTTAAAGTCACGGAAATTGTGTTTAATCAGGATGACATATGAAACACTATTTGAACATAATGTTTTTATGTCTGACATCATGTTATGGACGGTTTTTGATTTCAAAACATTAAATTTGTCACGTTGACCTCAGGATCAAGTGCCCTTCTCGACCTATAATGTCAAAGGTGAAAACCGTTACAAGTGCTTACAATTTCCTGCCAGACGCAAAATAATGTGCCATTAACCTGAACTGAGTAAAATTTAGAAAAAGTTATATTAAAATGCAACGTTTTTTAGAATTTTGTCCTATTTCTATTTAATAGCAAAATGAAATGAAATTTATGATGTTCTTTATAGCCTGACTCTATTATTTCTTTTAATCAAAGTCGACAAAGGAATCTATAAAACATAAGGTTCGACATAAATTGCATTTACAGTTATAATAATTTTTTATTATAGACTCGGAATGATCCATCATTTTTATGCCAATATGACTTAAAGAATGTTCTAGAAAAAAGGGAAGTGATCAATCACAGTTGAAAGAATTGATGACTATATAATTTTCAGCTGTCAAATAAAAAAGAATATTTGAATTGCTATTTCAAAATTAATTTAATTAGTAAAAGTTCAACCTTAAATAGGACATGCATTTAAATGATGATATGTGTTGTCTTTTTCACTTATGAATATATTTTCTATGTTTAAAATGTATTTTGAAAATTTCGAAACTTTAACTATTATTTCAAATTTATATATTTTGCATTTTTTCTTGTCTACGACTTACAATAGATGTTCAAAATTTAGACAGGACTGAAAGGCAATTAATTAAAAATCAAATAAATGCAGTGGACTTATAAATTAGGTAAAAGCAAACATTTCTTTCTCTATTTTTGTATTGTCTTTTGTATAAATTTACTCCATGTATCACCTTAAGCATTATATACTAAATTATTATGTTTCCTTCTCTGTACCGTTGTTAATTGGTTTTAGAGAATAAATTATCTATCTAACAGTATATTTTTAAAAAAACGGGTTTTCAAATAATGAACTGGACTTAATGAAATTATGAAATTATGATATATTTATAATAAAAATAAAAATCTATTGATATAAAATCCCCAACCAAAAATAAAAACAAAAACAAAACAAAACAAAACAAAACAAAACAAAACAAAACAAAACAAAACAAAACAAATCAATCACAAGGTATGTAAGTTTTTCGTGCATGCGTGTTACATCTCAACAAGTTTATGTACACTTTAGTGCATATTTTTTTAAGAGTATGAGAAGCGGTTAATTCATAGTAGTGTTGGTTTTTTTTGCATCCAAACGATTGAAAAGCAGGAACAATAGTATTCTTCAATAAGTTTATTATCGATTCAAATAACAGACTATTTTTTTTATTCCAGTTTGTTTGTTTGGTGATTGTTGGGTGGATGGAATCGACAAAAAAGTAAATGTTCCATATATTTACCGTTCTGATGCAGAAATAACTGGACAAGTCGGCCTGAATATTGGACTCCAGAAAATTAATATTACGCTTAAAGGTAAATATATTTTGACATGTATGATTGATTACACATACATGTACTACTGTATAACTTTTATCTGACTTTGCCCAACTTAAACAGCTACACAATTGTAGGATGTTCTATTCAGGAAATGGGATAGACTTTCTAGATTGGGAGGCTGATGTCTTTTTCAAAACGACCGATCACGTGAAGTTATATAAGGAATACATTAGCATATGTATAATGAAGTCTCACTGATAAAATCAGAACTTTCGCAATTTTGAAGATACATGACATACAAACTTAAAATTCATATCCTGTTGAGGGAATACAAATTGTTCTTTCTTTAACACGAAGATATCGTAAATATTGTAGCAACATTAACGGTACTAATTTTACTGCATCAGATGTACATTTCAGCAATCAATGTTTCATCAGTGATGATCAAAGTATTGAAAATTCAAAACCTAATACAAATATCATAGTATTTTTTTTAAACACCTACTCGTCTCGAAGGTTAATTTTTTGACTTTTTGGTTTATATTCGCCGGAAATTAGAAGACTGTACATAAGCATAAGCGTTTTCTATTCATTGCCAATCTTTTTGTGTTTCAGGGACTTTTCAAGGTTCTCAGGGATCAATAAAGTATAATGAAGCTATTCCTTTTGATGGAGGTAAACTTACGCATTGTACTATATTAACATTTACTCATTGTCAATACATTTAATAGAAATTTCACATTTAATCAAACGTTTTATTGCTTTATCCTCAACATTTTCATTTCTACGATAATCTTCTCCAAAACACCTTTAAGACTAACCATTAAACTTGAGTTTGAATGTCCCTCTGGCATCTTTCCCCCCTCTTCCATTAAACAAGAGAAGTAATCAAAATCTAATACATTCTGGGTAATATTTTCAAAAGTGTACACCAAAACGTTGTGATTGGTTTAAACAGTATTAAACAATGGCCATTTAACCAACGACGCAACGTTAATTTCATTTTGGTGTACGAACAATGAGATTACCCATGGTCCTTTAGATTCTAAAGAGGCGAATTAACAGTATTGCTGAGCAAAGAAATTGTCTGTGTTATATAAAAAAAAAACAACTTATGGTCAATTTGATCTTATTGGTTAATATAGCCTGTCATTTATGTCATTATTCCGTAATAATTACGTTTTATGTTCTGTAAAACCGTGACTATAACTGTCACAGAATTTCGGTCGAAAAACATGAAGGGTTCAATAGGGTAAAAATAGCTCCACAGTCTATAATAATATAACCTTAAGTAATGCTCAAATTAGATTTTTTACATTCTCTACGAAATTAAAAGCTTTTGAATGGGTAATTTAGATTTTCTACATAAAAATACGTCTTTTTCAGCAATTGGTTCCGTCAGTGAATTCCGGGATTTTTTGGAGAGGGGATTACCTCAGCCAATGTTAACAGTGGTAGAATTCTTTAGTATTGATGAAGGAGGTTTCAGATGGGGCCGCAGTTTTGCAACGGCAGGGTACTTTGCCAAAATTTTACTTTTGTAAGTAAATTGACAAGATAAGGTCCGAATTTATGAGTTTGAGACATTTTTATATAGTTGCAATTTTAAGGCGCTTTTAGAAAAATGTCTAGACTCTTGACCCAAAACCTGCTTCTCTATAGTTACAAATGTAAGAAGAACTATTTAATTAAGAAGTTACCGAGTTTGCATGATCGTTATATCGCCTTGCCTAAACTTACTAAGTAAGACAGTATAAACATGTTTTCTCTGTCAGAGACATTTGATGTTCATCTCCCATCCGGCTTAATTTCAAATTTTTTTATATTTTTAATCGTGATACGTACTGGATATGAATATGGATTAACCATTGACTTTTTGATGTGTCCATAACAGAAGATGATTACCATGTCTGTACTCTAGGTCTTATTTCAATCGACGATTCCGATAGTTTTCCTTTTAATCTACCTCTATTTGTACCTGCAATTATTACATTTCAACAGACATTGGTATACAATTTAAATATATATTTACTAAGTTCGTTCAGGTACCCTCCAGCTATGAAGTATATACCTTTTTTGAACTATAACTATGCACAATTAATCTGTATAAAATAAATATAGTGAAATATTATCTGTATTTTATTTTCAGGACATCTTTTTCGTTTTGGATCCTAGCAAATATTATGATAAGCTGTGTGATATACTACGGTGGAGTGCTATATACATTAACTGGCTTGACAATGTTTTTAGCATCAATAGTTTATCATTGCATGATACCAACAGCAAAACTTCGATTTTTCTGTTCAGAAAGTGAATTTCATCTTCATTATGGGATATGCTTTTGGTCAATTCTATTGATGGGTAAGTAAATGTTCGTGTATGATATAACACCTTAATATTCTTGCATTTTTACATTATAGGAACGTGTATTTATTAAGGTCAACGATATAAGATATGGCTATGACATCCAAATATTCATAAAAATTGTCTTAAGCTACAAGATAAGAACTAATAAATTCCTCAACTACAGTGGTTCTATATATATATATATATATATACATATATGAACGTCCTTCACATTAATTCAATGTTTGTAGACATGAATTATGTATGACAAGTAGTGGCTTCAATACAAGATTTTTATTTACCATAAATAATGGGCATTGCATGGAAATAAAAATGTTGAAAAAAATACAAAAGTGAATTAATACAACCCTGTATACTATCAAATTCCTATGTAACACAATCTTTTGAAATATTACTTAAATTGGGTCAGAAAACATTAAAGTGATAGAGAAAATAATCTCTGAACTGTATATATTGTACTTTCTTATTTTATAGGACTTTTGACAACCATAGTTGGTTCCATTATTCTAATCATGGATGCAAAAATGCCCAAAACAATACAGAAGTTTTTCTTGATCGAGGCATTTGACGATACAGAAGAGGCATATGAAACGCAGAAAAACTCAATATGTTCTATGTATAAGAAGGTAAGAAATCTGTATATTTCAAATAAGTCTTACATGTACATTATTCTATTCACAGTTCTGGTACAAACAACGATTCAAAATTACTTTCAACTCATTTTTCCCCACGAAATTTATGAAATATAAGATAAGAATCCTTTAGTTCCTCTCTAATCTTGCACTTTTTTGAAGTATGTTGTACTTTAAAATCTTCTCGATGTTATGTATAATATGAAAGGATATTTGAATTATTTTGGATGTATTTATATGATAGCTCAATTGTACATTTTCATTTATACTGTATACATTCAAATATATACACTTATATACATTCCTATCTATATTCTCGACATACAAGCAAGTCAGGAACTTCGTCAGATCTTGTCTTTCGTCATATCTTAATTTTTATTTGTTATATGGAGAAATGGTGTTAATGTAGATCTTTGATGATTTGGCTATTCTTTGGAGGACCCATTTGGTCCTAACGTTTCTACGTATTTATGTAGATCTTTGATAATTTGGCTATTCTTGGGAGGCCCCATTTGGTCCTAACGTTTCTACGTATTTATGCATCCATGGCAGTTTAGGTTTGAATGTTCCTATTGAAGGCGCATCGGACGCACGAAGTTTATAGAATGTAATTTTTAATTGCTACTCTCTGTTTTTTATTTACAACTTTCTTCTAGATTCGGAACAATTTAGAGTCTGACGTTTGTACAAACAACTCTCTATTGTTGAAGACAATGCCGACATATATATTTCTTTTGGGTTACCATGTCGTAGGTTTGAAGACTCGTTGACGTTACCCCAGATACTGGTAACTTTTTATTCATACATAACTCTTTGTTTTTTCAGAACGAGTTAAAAAGACAATCTTCTCCAGCCTTAGCAAACTTTCACAACAGTTCAACTGATTTGTATAGAGCAACTCTATCTTCAGTTGAGGAAGACACTGAACATAAACCACAGATGAAACGGAGTTCTACAAATCCTACTAATCTCCGTAATTCCTATTCTTTAGAATCTTTGCGTGCATTTTCAGAAAAGAATTCTTTCTCGGAAATTTCCAAGGACGAAAAACATTATAAATCCAACCCCTTATTTGAGCAAAACGAGAAAACGGAACAACTTAATACAGATGTATTTTCAAAGAAAAAAATAAGTTCAATACAAGGTCGACTACAATCTGCAATGTCTCTGGAGTCACTACCGTCTATTCCTGACGATAAAACGCTTTCGTTTGACTCTGGTATGGATAACGACGAAGGTGAAAACGTACATACAAGTGATCTGCAAGTTCTAAACACAATAGAAAGTGACAGTGATGACAATGGCGACGAACATATTGACGTATCTATGTTCGAAACTCACTCACGAGAAAGAACACAAGCAATTCAATCATCTTGTAAGACAGAAGAAAAACCTCATAATAATAAAGTTTTTACAATAAGTATAGGAAATGCTGATGAGGAAGAGGAACGTCTCAAGGAAATATATATCGATTTAACATCTGCGTATCCATAAAAAAACAAGAACACGATAATTTATCGACAAAACAATCTTACTGGGCAATTTCCTAAATTTCCTGTGAGAGCCAGATTGTACACAAATAAATTAACAGTTGAAATCCGTCCTTGGAAGGTAGATGCAAGAAATAAAGGAGTAAAACAATATTTATGTGAAGCCTGTTAATGAATCGTATGGTACAAATGTAGATTAGAATTAAATTGGTTCGATGTATTAGATGTAGACATAAAATCTGAACATCAAAGTTTGGAGGTCGAATCGAGAAAATTAGATCTAGTAAATGCTTACGCCACCATGCTTTTTGTTACGGACGAATGTAAAGCTTACCATTGTCTTTCATATTATGAAAATTTTCAATTTGAAATTGAAAATATGTTATTTATTATTTTGTGATTAATGTGTGCCAAGCCTATATGTAAATAAAACAGCAGAATTATGCATGCTTTAAATGAATAAAATTTTATGAATGAATGACTTCTTTTGTAGTTGGTCCCAAAATAGAAAGAATAAATATAGATATAAAATGCACCTCATGATCACAAATTAAAAACAATGCATGTTCCAAATTGGCAATTAAAGGTTTGAACTTGTTGATATTTTGAATGAAACCAATATTTTTCAGATAAAACAATAAGAAAATGATGACCACAGTTATATTTATAATTAGTATTTGTTTTACGAGATTTTCTACAGCCCAAGGGCTACGAGCGCTACTCGATCATCAAAGTACAAGTTAGACATTATATATTAGACATAGACATTGCATATAACGTTATATACTTCGTTTCTAATTCACTTATAGCAAGTAATGTTTAAATTTGTTATTTACGACACGTGCAACGGATAAGACTATTTCAAATACAAACATACTTTTAAAGCTTACTATATATGGTATGAGATTTACTCATTCTTGGAAGCCATATGTTATATAAAGTTGTTTACATCTTTAATAGATATTTGTCGTATTGTTAATCATGCCACCTCTTCTTATTTCTCATATCAGTCGGGTTACAAAATGTCTTTATTACAACGACAGAAGTTTAAGATATGTAGCAAATGATATTTAATATATTTTGTGTTGTATACCGTTGCCCATGACCTAAGGTTTACACGAAAATACGAAATACTAGTGGTAGTTTGCCCAGTTAGCTGGTATTCAACGCAATGATATTGGTTGCATCAAAAAAAAAATCAGTTTTTTATGTAGATTATTTGTTTTTATTTTATCTTTAACTGCTTGTCTACGTTTCAGATTGTTTTCACATTTTAAAAGTATTTGTGATTTCAAATAATGAATTTACTGTCAATGTTTTACGTCATGTAACATGTATATCATACAAAAAGTGTATCCAATTTGCAAATGTTTTACGATTCATGAAGATGAAATGAGGTTGAGAAGTGTCAGAAATACCAAATGGTTTTGTATTTTAAGAGTGCAGTGTTTATAAAATGATATATACTTCTTTGATTAAAGCGGCAAACACAAATGCTATAGGGAAGGCGTATCAATAAAAGAATACCAATGAAAAGTAATAATAATGCAACATTTGATAATTTTGTAATAAAGCTGTCAACCCTGACCCCCATACAACATAAAACGTTATGAATATAGTCGTAATATGGTCATTATTTACGTTTCTATGTATTATCATTTGATTTCTGACTTTGTCTAGGGGTGAATAAGAGGAGTTACATCATTTCTGAACGCAATGACTATCTATCCCATTTCAATTTGCAATTGACCACAAGTCAACTTACTCAAAATTATATGATTAATCTCCTATACTTTACGCTACATAAAGCCGTTTGGAACAGGAATAAGTAGTTACTGCTTGGTGTGTACTCAGTAACTCGCAGTCCTTACGAAAATAAATAAAATCATAGTGATTCAATAATGTTTCATGCAAACTGAGTTACCGATGTCTGGTCTGTAACAGGAGTTAATCATACTTTTCTATTCGCATTTTGCGAAGAGTGAGCATTGTGGAATACTAACTTTATTCTAAGCTTGTTAACCGTATAGTTTATCAGACACATTGTACACTTGCCGATTGGCAATTTGATTTTAATACTAGTAGTGGCGTGTTCGGGAAAATTAGATTGATTGATTGTTGTTTTCTCAATGTCCAGTGGAAAATATTTCCTGTTTTCAGGATGATAAAAAGTATAAATCAAATGAACAATAATATTTACATTGAAGATAACAAACCTTGTTACAGTATTGTCGAACTCTTAACCAGTAATAACACATGTTGGCAATTTACTTACCGGTATGTGTTGGTAGAGTACTCTTAACCAGTAATAACACATGTTGGCAATTTACTTACCGGTATGTGTTGGTAGAGTACTCTTAACCAGTAATAACACATGTTGGCAATTTACTTACCGGTATGTGTTGGTAGAGTTTGTGTTGCTCAGTCTTTAGTTTTCTATGTGGTGTATTGTAGATTGTTGTTTGTCTTTTCGTCGTTTTTTATTTGTTTATCATGGTATTGTCGTCTTTCGTCGCTTTTTATTTGTTTATCATGGTATTGTCGTCTTTCGTCGCTTTTTATTTGTTTATCATGGTATTGTCGTCTTTCGTCGTTTTTTATTTGTTTATCATGGTATTGTCGTCTTTCGTCGCTTTTTATTTGTTTATCATGGTATTGTCGTCTTTCGTCGTTTTTTATTTGTTTATCATGGTATTATCGTCTTTCGTCGTTTTTTATTTGTTTATCATGGTATTGTCTTTCGTCGCTTTTTATTTGTTTATCATGGTATTATCGTCTTTCGTCGTTTTTTATTTGTTTATCATGGTATTATCGTCTTTCGTCGTTTTTTATTTGTTTATCACGGTATTATCGTCTTTCGTCGCTTTTTATTTGTTTATCATGGTATTATCGTCTTTCGTCGCTTTTTATTTGTTTATCATAGTATTATCGTCTTTCGTCGTTTTTTATTTGTTTATCATGGAATTATCGTCTTTCGTCGTTTTTTATTTGTTTATCGTGGTATTATCGTCTTTCGTCGTTTTTTATTTGTTTATCATGGTATTATCGTCTTTCGTTAACTTTCTTATTTTTTCATCTTCCCTTTGGTATATTCTGCCTTTGATTTTTAGTTTTATACATTTCTCTAACGAAATATCTTCTGTAACATGTTGGGTTTTTTTTAATTTCCATTGCCTGGAAACGATACCTTTTAAGATAAAAGGAAATGTCATACATGTTCAAGATTACTAGTAATCCAGATGTCGATATCGACATCGACATGCTATCGATGATGAATTTATAAACTCATAACATATACAAGTGACTAATGACGACATAATGACAAAAACCAGAAACCGATATCAATGACGACATCATCACAGTAGGTATAGTGTCCGGTCGGGATCGTGTATTTTCGAGTGATTAGATCTTTTCTTTCGAGTGTGACCACATTTTTTCGAGTAAATATGACCAAAAGTGTAAACAAACAGACTTCTTTTTTCGTAAGACGTGAAATAGATGCTTAAACTTAATATTCAAGATCATACAAAGTAAGTTAGTATTGGTTAAAAAAGAAATCATCACCCTACATTCTTTGTGTTATAAAAGTTTAATTTAGCCTTACAATGCTTTTATTCCAAAATATAGAATAAAGCAATTTTTAAACAAGTACCAATGCAAATGTCAAAGGAAATGTATATTTGGAATCTATATATCCTTAGATATACAGACTCTTTATAAAAATTCTTGTTATTGCACTGAGAAGGATATTTTTAGAATAAATTCATTTTATATGTCCGTGTTTTTTCGAGAGCAGTCCGGGTTTTTTGAGTGCGGTCTAGGATTTGATTGAGTGATTAACCAAAATTTTAAATGGCTTAAAATGTTATATGTCAGTGCGATTACGTTTAAAACACATTGAAAAGGTTCAAATAATGTACTTTTCAAAGCACGAAACCAATGTATTTAACCAGTTTGATAATACTGTAGTACGTAACACGTACATTCGTAAAAAGCATAGTATATTTGTATATATTGTTGTTTGCCACATTTTATGAATTGCATGGACACCGGCATTGGTATATTTGGATAGATCAAACATGTCCACGCCCATGTAAATATGGTTGAACTATCCAACAAGTCAACGTCCAGGTACACATGTTGAATCGATCCAAACATACGTATATCGATGTCGATTCAACCAAATATGGATATTATACAGTAAATATTCGTGTTGTAAACAATATTAATGTGACCACAGACACACATATATATATATATATATATATATATATATATATATATATATATATATATATATATATTTATAAACGCTTAAAAAGTGTACACAACAGCACCAATAACAAAAAAAGGAACTATAAATGTAATTATTTATAAATATTTCGGATAACAGATATCCTTCATCAGTAAATATGATTGTGATGTTGAATGGATCATATATCAGTCTACTTAGATTAAACTATAACAATCTTGAAATTTATACAATAAAAAAGTCAAACCGAACATCAGGTAAGACGCTTGCACAATTCTAAATATGTGTTAAACACGACATAGGTTATATGACTAATTACAACAGAGAGTTCAAATATATGCTTTAAATAGAAATAATAATGCGCGATATGAACTAGCACGATTCTAAAGCTTTAACGATGACGACAGTTATGATGTTACAAGGACGATTGCGTCAATAAGAATTCCAAATAAACAGCATTGAACGATCTAAATTTGTAAATATTTCAAATTTGACAACGGTAGAGTAGTTACAACAGAGTCTGCGTATTTAAACATCGCAAACAAACGGCCGTTAAAATATAATAATAAATTTTGACCATATTTTGCAATGTTAATTGCAAGACTACAAATGTTGTGTATCTCCTACAGTGCTGGGGGTTTAGCTGGTCTTAGGTCTCTCTTAGAAGAATATTTGTGGTATATTGCATTTTACTGAACTTATAACTTCTGTCCCTTTGTATTCTTAACTCTGTTTTTAAAACTCCAGGTTTCGCCATTGTTATATATATATAAATTATAAACTATCATTTACTGTAAAAATTATTGTAGCATGAAATGATACCGGTATTGAAAAGATTATGAGTGCCCTATTCTCGGTTCTAAAGACAGTTTTACAAAGAATCCAGTAATTTCTAATATATCTTAACACAAGGTTATGGTAAAATTATTTCAAAACAGAAAATTATCATTAAATTGAAAAGGGTTAAAATTTGATCAAGATATTAATATGTGTGTTGTTACTTTAATATTGCTCTTCGCTAAATTACAGTTACAAACTAGAAAAAATATAGTTTTTAAGCCCAAGAATGCCTTCTTTCTTATTCACATTTTCTTTGAAAAACCCGGACCATTTACGAAAAATAGAAATTTGTGAAGGGTCTATCGATAGCTGTTTGTGGGAACAAGTTAGTACCAACTAACCATTTTCAAGTAAGGTCAAATTTCATATTTTTTTGTTAAAAAATA